CTAATATTTTTATTTTTTCTATGGAACATAACAATGATAATGCAAGAAATAATATACAGCAGCAGCTATTCATATAGTAAATCAACGATCAATACTGAAGATTTTGTGTAAAGATCTCTAAGTGTTTTGGAAAAATTAAAATTTTCTCAATTTTACAAAAATCTCAAGCAAAATTTATCAAAATATAGTTTTTTTGCGAATCTAAAAGAAGTGAGTAAGAGATAGTGTGGCTTGTATATCCAAAATCCTTTATTGAAGCGGTATAGATAAAGAAGCAGAGATTGGAGAGCGAAATTGTCTATGCTCTTAGGAATGATCGCCTCGTTTTACAAAGAAAAATGTGTGATGACAGGCTTATTTTGTTGCATTTTAATGAGTAAAGAGAGACTGATCGTAACAAGATCATATTTTTCAGTGAGTAAATTAAATTAAAATTAGAAATCCAATTCACTTTTCATTTGGATGGTTTCGATATATATTTCATTTGTTCGAAGTAAGTTGAGAAAGTTAAAAAAATATTATCTTGAGTTAGAAAGCACACACTATCAAACGATCATACTATGATCAAGATAGAATATTTATCGACTTTCTTACGTAATCTTGTAAGCGACACCTTATTGTAGCATTTTCCATATATTATTTTAACCTAGAAAATGCATATTGATCATAATGTGATCGATGATCTTACTGCCGAATCTGATAATATCTTTATAGTTAGAGTCACTATAGACTCAAACTATTATTTTGAACCAGAAAATGCATATCGATCACACTATGACCGGAGGATCATTTAAAAAAACTGTGAAAGGAAGGGTTGAAACTGATCAAAGCGCGCACTGCTTATGCGAGGATCACTTCATTGTTAAGAGTTAGTTTGATAAATGTCTCAGTCTGAATAGAAATAAATGACGACTTAACAGTGATCGGTAAGAGAGGACAATAAATGACTGAACATAACCTAAAAGTGTTTAACCGAAATATTGCTTAAAAACTGATGATCATGTTATGATCGCTAGCCTTAAGTAAAGGCTGAATATAATTTTTTGCATAAAATGATCCAAAGTATGAAAACTTGATCTCTCAAATGCTTTGTGATGATCATGTTCATCTAAAATATTGTTGAATATTGATGATCATGTTATGATCAAGTCGTTCACTTCTATTAATGACGAAATTATTACTAGGTTGTTTAGCAAGTAGCATTTAGTAAAGTATGATTCTAAAGTTTAGCGTAAAATGATCCAATGTAGGAAAACTTTGTCTCTATCAAGCTTCGGGATGATCATGTTACACCTACACATATTATATTACAAAATGTCGAAGAGCGAGGCGTCATATTTGAAAAATTTTGCTTTGTAAAGATTACAAGCGCATCATCATTAAATAATGCTGATATAAAACATCATTTGATGCTGATGCCATCATACTATCAACATATAATCGATGACATGATCAGTGAATAATTAGCATAACCCCTACAAGTCTCAAAGCCTCTAGATTAACACTGTCACGCAGAGGCAAATATCATTCAAATTACTTATATTAAAATAGAAAGCTTTTCTGCAAAGTTAGCGTTGCTGTACTTCCTCCTTTCTTTGCCAACTCATCCAACATTTCATCAAATACTTATACTATATATTTGCCAAGCACTCATCATTTTATGCAAATACATATGTATGTCAATACTTAGTTCATGCTAAATGGCGTTAAACACTCGCTTGGCTATAATTTACATAATCACAACGGTGTAGACATATCGACATTTAACACCTGCTACTTAAATATAACAACAATAAAATTAAAGCGCATCAAAGCGTCTGCCTTTCACCGAAGAGTGATCTTCAATGCATGATATGCATATGCACATGTAGATCTGTCTGTATGTATGTATATGAAAAAGTGAGGTGTTTTGCAATAAGGAAGTGACTGCTGACATGCTATTGTCTATCGAAATTAAATAATAGACAAATTAAAAGGAAATTTTTTGCTATGAAAACTCCTCCTAAAAGCAACCTCGAGACGTTTTTTCAAATCCTAGTCACTGTATTGAGTTACTCTGCCGCAAAAACATGTTCCAAATATTTGAAAACATCAATTTATTTATCTACATTAATTCGTATTGATCACGTGCCCCTTGTAAGCGTTGCCACCGTTGTCTAAGTATGCTTGTGCAGACCATTTGTGCAGTTCGCGTGCATTTTTGCAATTTTTCACAAACTTTTTTCATGCCACATTTTCCAATAACCATAAACAGCTTGCCGCATTTGAACGTCAATTGTCATTCAAACAGCTGCCTGCCGTCTGTCAGTCTAATGCGATCAACTCGTTTGTTGGCGCTGACATTGTGGCAATTACTGTTCGGGCTCATGCAACTGCACTCGTTTATTTTGGATTTTTTGGCTTTCGTTTTTTGCCCGACTTGTAGGTTCAAGCTGCTGCCGTTAACGGTGCTAAGTTCAAGCAGCAAATGTGCGCTTAATTTCCGCCTAAGTGCGGTGAATTCGTTTTAAGGTTTTGAAAATGCGGTCTCGTATGTGTGGAATTTGAACGTGTTTGCATCTTGATCTTTTAAATTTCAATTTTTGTGTCATTTTTGTTTTGGATGATAAGGAAGCGGTAATTAAGTGACATTTTTGGTGTAATTATATAACAATATTTGCATATACATATGTATATAATTGAAAATGCTGGTAGCTGGATGAATAGGTTTATAATTTTCAGTTTTTTGTTTTTAGAAAATTTTTGCTAAAAAAACTCTTTATTTTTACAAAAATTGTATACGGCAAAACTTTTCTAAATTGTTTAAATGTTTTTTTGTTAATAAATTTCTGTTTCAATTTTTTCGCCCACTTTGCTCGAAAAATATCTAAATTTTAAAAACAGAAAATTAGGTGGCAGCACTTTCTCTTTAATTTTATATAATTTTTTTTTTTATAATAAGTTTGAGTTTGTTTTGAAACTTGTCAGTTTTGCTAGAAAAAAATTCAGAGTTTTAACAAATGAAAAAATTAGGTGGCAACCTTTTCTAAATTTTTCAAATTCGTTTTAATAATAAGCTTAATTTTAATTTTTTTTATTAAAATTGCCAATGTTTCTAAAAAAAAAACAATTTAATAAAATAATTTAGGTGGCAACACTATTTTACATTTTTTTAAGTTTTTTATGCAAATAAGTTTTAATTTCAATATTTTTTTTTTATAAAATTGCTAACTTTGCTCGAATAAATCTAATTTTGAATTTAAAGAAATTAGTTGGCAACACTTAATTTTAATTTTTTAAACTTTTTCGTCAAAAATAAGTTTCAGTTTGTTTTGATATTTGCAAAGTTTTGATCGAAAACAAATTTAATTTTTAATATAGAAGTAGGTGGAAGCACTTTCTCAAACAATAATAGCTTTTTAGCAAATTTATTGATTTGAATTATTTTCATATATTTTATTTTTAAATTAGTATAATAATAAGAATTAAACTTAATAATTTTAATACGGAAACAAAAAATAATGGTAACCCTGCTAAATATATAATACAAATTCATCAATCAGAAATAACGGCAAATTCTAATACCCCTGGCAGAACATATTCGCAAAAATTTATAAAAACAGCTGACTTTCAAAAAGTTAATAAAAAAAACTTTTTACTATCAGAAGATTTCGAAAGGCTCCATAGCAACTCAGGAAGTATAATCATAACTCAAAAGACATCAACAAGAGAGTAAGGTGTCTCACAAAATTGACAAGGTAGCCTCTTATGAAGAGGGTTACAGGATCTCGTAAAGCTTATGAGGAGGTTTACATGATCTGAAAGTAGTAGACGACTACTGAACACTTCAAGTAGACAAGTATTGACTCACACATTGTCCTACAACTATTTACTTCAACAAAAATTCCTTGGTGACCCAATTTGTTGAAGAAACTGTGAAAATAATAATTGTGCATAAATTTTCGCATATTTTCCTTCTCATAATTGTTCATTTATTTGGCCTGCATTCGATTAATAATTACCAATGGTACGTCTCAATTACGCAATATCTACATAAGCAAAATTTGATGGATACCATCCAAAGCCATTTGTCCATTAATATATTACTGCCGTTATAAAAAATACGAGGTTATCAAATTTTTATCGCCACTGTAATTGTCAACTGAGTAAATATTTTCCATTGTCCCGCATTTCTGTGATTTATATGCGCTAGATTTACTGTATTGTCTTAGTTTATGACGGCTTGAAAGGAAACTGTCAATAACACAATTCAAATGACAAAAACAAAAATGCAAACAAGTGACAATATTGACAGAATTAGAGGAAAATATAAACATAAGTATGTGTATATATTTTTCATACAAAAAATATTTATGAATTTGCAGAACATTTCATATTATACGACATAGCTGTCATCGATCCCCCGAAACGCGGTAAGCGGCGAATCGAACAAACAACTGGTATAAATTACATAAACTGGCATAATCAAATAGATGGAATAGCAAGCGGTTTTGCTTTTTAAATGTGATTCTTAAAAATTATCTTGTATTGAGTTCAGCTGGATAATGTTCTGGTTGCTTTCATATGGAACATGTTCGAGAAGAGATTAGATCTAAAATATTGGGGTCCGATAGTCTATAGCTTGAGTTTACGAGATTTTCCTCTCTAATAAGATTTCGGCCATGACTTTTGAGACTTTCTCTATTTCAGTATGTCACCAGCTGATTTATGGCTGGATGAAAACAATACCCTTTTCTTAATATCAAAAGAGTAGGAAGACTTAGTTACTCATTAACAATATACTCCATCTCCCAGGGTAAAGGAAAAAAAAATAAGAGTTTTCCAATGAAATTTAACCTTAACGCAAATATTTTTTTATAATGAAAGCCTTCCACTTCATCGGTAATATTCTCCTCCATATAATACGATCTAGGAAATCTTCATGAGTCGATCTCAAAAGACTTAAGTTTTCCCACTTTTTTATCTCCCACCTTTCTCCTTCATCATTTCCCTTGACTTACCTTGGTGCCTGATATTCTGGCTCTGGTGGTGGCACATGTACGTAGACATGCTTATGTACCACAGGTGGTTGTTGTGGTGGTCCATATACCGGTGGTGGCCCATAGCCGCCGCTGGGCGCCGATGGTTGATAACTGCTGGGTGGTGGGGCGCTGTAGCTGTCACGTGGTGGTTCTGGACGTGCCGTGGCCAAGCCAGCAGCAATCAAAACAAGTAAAACCTGCGGGAGGAGAAGATCAAAATGAAGGGATGAGCATAATTTGCATAGAGAGTTGATGATTTATAAATGCCCATAAATTAAAGATTGATTACATAATAAGTAAGTATGGTATTTTACTGCTAAATACTTTTATACCTAAGCCCATATGCTTCATTCGGAACTTCTATTTCAATATACATTTATTCAGTGAGGAAATACTTTTTTTGTCAGTAATGTGTGATTTAGTCTTCTATATTCCCAGTCGATAACATTTTAAACACATGTTCTATCAGAAAACTTGAAAATATTTTTGAGGTCTTGAAATGTACATTGCAGTTTGCGTAAATATGTAAGTAGTTTAGAATTTGCTGTAAAAATTTAGATATTTTCCCCGCCATTTGTTATCAATAATTTCGTAAATTAAGATTGTTAAGGGTTGTTTTTTATTCTCATATAGATTTTGGTTTTAACTATTTTTCGATTTTTTTTAACAATAAGCCAATTGGTACTTTTCCAAGCAAATTAATTACATTTTTTTTATAAATTATTTGTTTTTGAAAGAGTAATTTTAACAAGTTCAAACAAAATAATAATTTGGCAAATAGTTTTAGAAATTTGAAAAAAGTTTAAAAAGTCCAAGCTGTGGATTTTTGAATTTTTTTTTAATTTACATAAACATTTTTATCCTTTTCAAAAATTTTCTCGGCTTTTCAAAAATATATCGAAGAAAAAATTTTTTTTCTGCTACATATTTTCAAAAATTAAAGAATGCAAGAGTTTTATTTTTCTAAAAAAAGTTTTCGAAAATGTTTTGTTTTCTAAACTGCATTTTTTACACATTCCCACAGAACAAAAACATTTAAGGAAATAAATTTAAAATTGTCTAAACTGTGAAATTCCGAAATTATTTTTAGTTTGAAAATATTTTCGTCTCTTTTAGAAAATTCGTATCTCTTTCAAGGCATTTAGTAAATAAATCGAAGTAAAAAATATTGTGACTAACATTTTTCATATCAATTTCAATTTTTTTCCGCATTTGAAAACTATATTAAGAAAAAGATTTTCTTCTGAATGTTTTTAAAAACTATAGAAAGCAAGAGCTGTATTTTTCTAAAATAATAATTTTCAAAAATATTTTGCTTTTAAAACTGTAACAACAACATTTAGAAAATAATTTAAAAAATAACCAAATTTTAAAAATTGGAAAATATGTTTTGTTCAATCAATAAACTTTTTTAATATTCTTTTTTTTTGAAAACATAAAGTTTTTTCAATTTTTAAAACTTTTCGGATTTGAAATTTCGAATTTTTTAAATTTAATTTAAGAACTTTTCATCTGTCGATTCGATAAAAAATCTGGTTTAGGAAATCATTTTAACATCTACAATCAACTCAAATATTTTTTTCATTTCCTTTATTTCAAAATATTAAGATTTTCAATTTTTGACATTTTTGGAATTCGAAATTTTGAATTTTTGAAATTTAATTTTAAGAATTTTTCAACTGTTCGAAAAAAGGCAATCCGGTTTGGCAAATAATTTTAAAAAATTTCAATTTGCTAATTTTCGAAATTTATTTTTTTAAATCGCGGTATTGTTCTAAAATTTTAACACTTCGTTTTCGCTTTCTTTATTTGAAAACATTAAATTTTGAAATTTTTCAAAATTAAAAATTTATTTCATTGACATTATTATTTAAATTTCTTCACGAAATGTTTAAGGTGGTTAAGGTCCTTTTTGAATTTATTCAGATGTTTATTTCTAAGCTTTTTTTGTTTGATTTTTTTTTTATAAGAGTTTTCTTTATTGATTGTTTGCTTGTTTAAAGAAATGTTGTATATTAAAAATATAATCCGTATTTAGAACACATGTTTAAAATTCGCTATTTTTCACATTTTCTTTAATCATGCTTTGGTCCTTTAACAGGATTAGGTCTATGTTTCCGTGAATTTCTGGTAATTGTTTTAATGTATTTATTTCTGAGTAATTTTTTTCATTGCTTGAATTTTTTTACACACATAAACAATTTATTTTTTAATATATTTTTTCGAAACTAAGTTTTTATAAAAAAAAAAAGATACACTTTGTATTGCAACTAAAAACTCCTCCCATACACGTACCGCACAAAAACGCTTCATTTTGTTTGAGTTTTTCGAAAACAGTTATTAGTTTTTTACGGTGTAATTTCAAAGGATGTGCGGCTTTTCGCTACTGCGGAAGTTTAAAACCAATTACAACAAGTACACAAAGTCGAAAAGAGACCAAATTGACTGTACGGCGCGGCGCGTCTTTCTGCATGATTCTGCTGCGGAGTTTGCCGTTTATATAGGTACGCGTCGCAAAAACCGTTTCGGCAAAGTCAACGCCGACGAAGACACAGCGCAAAAGCAAAGCCAATTGACTGAGCATGCGTAGAGCATCTGCAATGCGCGCGCGCGCGCTCAAGCTGTAGGCGCGGGAGGTTGGCACACAAGTGCGGGGGGTGTAAGTACACCAGCTTTTTGGGTGCAATTGAAGAATACTTCAAGCACTGCGCTTTTGCTTTCATTGTTGCCAATGTTACTGTAGCGCGCCGGTTGCTGATTGCTAGTACAGTTGGTGTTTGTGTTGTTTTTGGTTTTTCGGTGTTGATTTTGTGGAACGTGTGCGATCACTTTCGGTTTCATTACCTCACCTAAGCGTAAGAAAACTCCAAACTCTCTGCGGCTCCAAAGTTTTTCCAACGCTTAACGTTTGCGCTTCGGCGCGCGCTCTTCGTGCACATCGCCGCCGCTCTCCACACCGCTACGTCTCAGCGGTGTTATTGTTTTCATTTTCATTTCATTGTTATTAATGTTACTATTATTATTTCAACTCAGTTGGTGGTGGTGGTCTTGTGGTTTTCTTCTGCTGTTTGCCACCCAAATGATCATCAAGCCCCGAACCTCATTAGCCACGTTTCGCTGCTCTCTTATTTGCTTTTATTTTACATTACAATTTTATTTCCCTCAATTCGTTTGTGTGCGCTCAATTGCTGTCTTTCGCTTCGTTACTTTACTTATTAATTTATTTTTGTTTTTGTACTTTGCTTATTCCAACTGAATTTCATGAATTTCATCTGCAGCTGCAACATCTTCGTCATGCGCCGCAATCTCATCATGCCAAATGTTGCACACTCCACACTCTTACAGCTGGCTGTTCGAGCTGTTGTCTGTTTGCTGCTTGGCTGGCTCGTCTCGTGATCGCTCTCATTAGACCAAATGCCGCAAAGTGGCAACGGCATGCGGTCAAATCGCCAGCAAACATTACGTTCGTTCAGTCAAACAGATGCTGGCTTTTTGGCAACAACGTTCATTGCCAGCACGATCGTTCGCACTTTCGCTTAGTTGAAGATCACTCAAATAGTCGTTAGGCAGTCAACAACAGTTGGATACATAAAGCGTGATTTTGAGTAGGATTTTGAGGCATATTGGACTGTGTGGCTCGTGCTTTAGAGGAATTTTTGATAATATTTCACCTTAATATGATCTATTTGTGAAAGAGTGCTTTAGAAGTTGATAGAGTGCGGACAAAATCACCTGTATGGTTTCAAATAGCATATTTGGTTCTCTAAAGTGACTGCGCGTTACTCCTTACCATGTACTAATGAAGCTGGCGTTAGTATTAGAGCCTTACCTGAGGTGTTTCTCTAAATGGTTGTATTTCTAACGCATGACATTTGAAAATCCCGGTCCATGACCGACGCTAAAAAAAACGCTTTTCCTGCGGTGGCGCTCGGCCTTACTATTTCCTTATGGCAATCAGTCCATTACTGTATTTACGTAATATATATATGTTTTGGTTGCATTCAGTTATTTGAGCCCTGCCACTACCCTTTAAGTCCAAAAGATGATTACAGATAGGCTTTTATTGAAAAAAAAAATCTTGGCAGACCAGTTGATGGAGAAGTACTTAGCTCTATTGAGGTTCAGATACCGAGAAATACTCGAAAGATGCAAAAAGTAGAGTTCGTCAGTACATTCTTAAGTTACTTTAGATGGGGTAACAAGCTGATATTTTTGAGGCCACGCGTCATTCCACTTAGACAGCTGAGAGACGATTGTCCGTTATGATGGCCAGAACTCCAAATTATGGATCAAAAAGACCTTCGCATATCGAAGAGGCTACTTGAGCCTGCCTCAAGTTTATTGAGGCGTCTAATATCAACACTGGCCACTTCGCCTGGTTTCTTGAAGGACATCTTGACATTTAGATCTGGCGAAAGTGGGACACTGGAAGAAAAAGTGTCGTGTCCTCATATTTCTCCATGCAAGTTGGACAAATTGTGTCCTCCAAAAATAATTCATATGCCCTGTGAGTGCCAATAGGACAATGTTTAAATAGAGCCCGCTACCTTGCGGCGATATAAACCAGCGACAGAATACAAGAAGAGAAGTTTCGTTGCTAGCATGTTGGTATTTGGGTAAGGGTGCCATTTCTTGCTAGGTCATCGGGTTTTAGCTTTCGATATCACTAAACCTTGGTGCCGCATCTATCCATGGCTTCTTGCCGAGGGGGTTTTCCTCTTCGTACGATCGCTGTCGTTTCGAAGCAGATTGGACATCGTTCGATTGCAAACCGTCAGCTATCCCCTAATATTTAAGCCAAGTTTATTAATAAATAAGAGAACTTTCCCAGTATCTACGACTGAACTCCCGAAAAGAGGTGGATTTTTACCCTTCTCATTGAAAAATAAACCTGAACAATTGAACTCATTTATAATCTTTCCTCCTCCTTCTCATATCTCTCGTTATTTTCTTTGTTTATTTATATGTCCATAAAAAGGTTTAGGTCAAACAACAACTAAGTTTGTGCTTTTAGTGCCGCTTAACTCCGAGGTAATGATATGCTTAGGTCAGGTTAGGTTAGATGGCTGTTCAAAGATCGCAAGTAGACTACTAAATGTTGCTCATTGAAAGGAAGAACTCCTGTGCTTGAACTTATAAATTAGCAAACCGTTTAGTAGTCAATAAAAATTTTGTCAGCTCGGTGGGATGTCTGAAGCTATGCGCTCCCAAGTGTTTAAGACCCGCTCCCCAAACACGGGACTCTCAAGAAGAAAGTGTTGAGTTATTTTCACCTCATCTTATTCCAGCCTTACGCCCATAGGGCAAGGACCCGTTATAAGCCCCAAAATTAAGGGACAGACTAACCTTTTTGAGGGCAAAGATAGTAGAACACAAATGGATACGGGAGCACCGATCCGGAAATCACCCACCATCCTCTTGAGTTCGGAGAACAGGACAACGATGCTAGGGTCATGGTAATCGATATTTTTGGGTTCCATTCCAAAAGAACTTTGCCTGCTTGGCGACTAAGATAGATTCAAGACCAATTTTACGTAAACTGTTCTGAACCGTAACCAGTGAGGGTGTTCTGCATAGACAAACCAAATAGTAGTCAGAAGGGTAAAGGACCGAACTGTAAGGGATATGAGGCAAGCTGTTTTCTCAAATAGTTTTTAATCAATCTTGCAAGATGAGGTCGAGCTTTTCCACGATGCAAAATTATTTTCTCGGTCTAGTAATAAGTTCCGGAAGTTTTTCTCCAATCGCTCGCTTCAAATTTATTTAATGGTTGCCGGCACAAGAACCTACGAATGGTTTTGATCTTTTTGGAAGCTTATAATACCGCACGACCTTCTTATGCCATAAAGTACAGAGTATTACCTCACCGCCATGGAAAGCCGGCTTTGCCGTTGATTTGGCTGGTTGGTCAAGTTTCATGGTGTTTTTATTGTAATGGACCTATTTTTCACATTTACAGCTATTGGTCGATTTTTCGGACAGCGAGATATGTCGTGAAATCAATAATTGAATCAGATTTTGTATCTTTCTGAATCCGTGGCTAAACGGCTCAATGTAACAATTTCAAGAAATTTTAAGCATCGAGTTTTTTTTTATTATAAGCAAAATAAAAATTTGAAATGAAATCAATGTTGTCTATCTAGAAGCGATCGGAAATGGGTAAATCGTCACAATCGCATTTGTCATGACATAACTGAATCTATACGAAGTATATCAAATGAATTTGACGGCAGAAAATCGAGTATTCAAGTTAAATTCAAGTCTATCGACTATACTTCCTCGTTTTTATTCTAATGAAGCTTGTGGATTTCAGAAAACACGGAACTAATTAATTTTTTGAATAAAAAAAAACGAACTTCATAAAGTTGTGAACACTTCGACCCTTCAAAATCTCGACAATAAAAAGAGAAGGGCCCTTGCTGGCACTTTTGTATCCGATACCTAACTAAATGCTTACCTAATATTCGTGCTCTCTATCGCAAAGTGTCAACATGTCAATTAGTGACCAAGTAGACCACATCAAGCGCGTAGATCGTGGGAATCTAAGAGAGCTCGTAATGTGTTCGTAGCCGCGAAGGCATATTTCTCGTACTTATGCAATTGCTCGTTATCGGAAAGCAAAGGCTAACAATTTTTTCAAAGCACAAAAACAAAAACACTTGAAACTGTGCTCATCGTTAACTGTAACCCAAATAAGAAAAACAAAAATACCAGGTAAAAATTAAAACACTTTCACCAAAAAATAAAATCATATTTTTTATATTTTTTATTTATATATTTTTTTTTATTTCTCTCGACACAAAATCTGTAACAAGAAATCTTCAATCAAACCATTTTGTGTATTGGAATGTCAAATGTAATGGCATTTTTAAGTGGCAACATTGACAATGCGGATGTGTGCGTGTGATGATGCAACATGTGGTTACAACGTGCTCTGCAATGAGACTACACGTTTCTCATTGTAGCGCAAAATGAAATCAAAAATAAATAATACAAATTTTATTAGAAAAAAGAAAGCGAAGAAAGAAAGACACCAAAAGAGAGCATTTTATATCGGTCAGCTTAAATCCGAAAAGTCCACATTTAAGCATTCTATGCAAATGTGGAGCGGAAGGAATCCCACAAGCTTCGCTTACAACCTTTTTACGAGGGTTGCGCTTTATATAGCGGAATTAGCAAACAAAAACAAATATTAATCATCGAAATCGCTTTATTGTCTTTTCAAATATTCACTATTAAGATTTATACACTTTGATACGTTTGAGCTAATTGTTGAAGAATTTTTGCCACTCAGATTGAGGTATTACTCATCAGGAAATAGCGATAAAGTCTGATGCAAAAAGTGAGGTTCGGCAATCTATTATTACGTTAGCTTAGATGAGGTAAACTAGTTGGTATTTTTGAGGCCATAAATCATTCTACTTAGACAGTTCTTTACTTTCGTCCTTATTCGCTT